CGCGCTGGGCGCCAGGCCCTGCCCTGGCCGGGCGGGCGGGGACGTGGCGCCCGCAAGAGACGGGCTCTCCTGTACTGTGAGGGCCGAGTCGGCACCTCCTGCGGGCTGAGCCGCTCTGTTTGTTTTGTTTGCTGAGGGGAAACGGCGCTGCGGTTAACAACGTGGTCTTGAATCGTCTGCGTGTGCACTTCAAATAATACTTGTAATTGGTGACTAATTGGCAGTCCGCGCCTTGCGCTTTTTTGTGTTCTGCCAAACCGCGGATGTGTGAAGAGGCATAAAGAGCTGTGTAATTTTTGGCTGGGGTAGAGTTAATTTTCTTCGCGATAGCTGGTATGGACCGTGTTTTGGAATTGTGCTGGAGACCCTGTTGATAACTGAGGGCAATAAGTGCCCACTTTGCCTTTGCTTCAAACCTCATTTCCTTGCTGTTTGAAATTACAGAGCTGATTCACATCGTTTTTTCAAAGACTTAACTTTTCAAAGTCATGTGGAAAGGCACAGAGCATAATATCTGAGTGAATTACATTATCACCAAAGTGTAAACCATACAGGCCATTCTGGCTTTCTTTTACACTTTGAAATAAGAAAGCAAGTATCCCAAAAGATGAGTGTATGACATCTGAAAGTTGGCTGTCCCTGTCTCCAAAGTGGTATAGAAATATTTCATCACGTTTGTTATAGGGAAATTAACGTAATAATGTTTTATTTATTTGCTGTCACTCTATGTAACAACTATATTACCATTGCAAAAATATGTATGATGTTTTTGGGTTTGGTTTTTTTTTGCAACAATCCAAAATATAATCATCTTATGGTATCCTTAACAACTTGAATGAATAAATGTTGTAAAAATATTGTAATTAAATTCTTACATTTTGCTGCTGGATCATTTAAATTTCTTACACATGCAGCACATTTGAGTCTCAGATTGTATTTTTAGCTCTGTCACCTGTGTAGCCTAACACAAATTACTCCAATTCCCTTTTTAGTCTCTGTCAAAGTCTATTCAGATTACAATTTTTTTCTGGAGTAGTATTATGAGGTTTTAATGCTTTTTGGTCTACTGTCCTTCAAATTTGAATTAAAATATTACATTTTCACTTTTTCTTGGTTTTTCTGGGTTTGTTTGCTTTGGATTTACCTGTGCTGGTTACCAAAGCTGATAAAAATTTTTGCTGTTGCAGGTTTAATCTAAAACAGCTGTTACAGAAATGAAATTAAAGAAAATCTGCTATATGACATTAACCTGAAAGTTAATGATTTTTCTCTGAGAAACAGTTTAATTTAATAATTTCCTATTTAAGCACAAAATTTTAGTACATGAAGATGCACTGAGAGGAGAGGATGTATTCCCTCAAAGATGTGCTTTGGCTGTTCTTGCTACAGCCAGCAACATTTCTTTAGGTTATGAGAATTCACATGTCGCCATTAACACAAGTATATGTATGAAGGCTTGCTGTGGCTTTGCAGCTAAAATACAACATCTTCCCCACGTAGTTCTCAGAGACACAGGGCTGAAATTTCCTGAAAGTGCAGCTGTGCATTGGGTTTGGAAGCTGGGATCTCAAGGCTAACCATACTCGTGCAGAAGGAGCAAGAACTGGAAGAGGGGATGACAGATTGAAACAGAAAAAATGAGGAACAGGAGCACTTGGCCTTACTGGACCAGGAGACAAGGTCAAAAGTTGAGAAGTGGTGGAGAGGTAATATGATAATTGTGAAACAGGGCAGATACCATGACGGAAGGAAAGAAATGTTTTTCCTCAAACATTGAAGTAGGAGCCAGAATTGGTTGTGTGAGATGAGGATGAGGACCCCAGGGAGAAGGGAGAGAGGACTGAAGGTAGGTCAGGCAAGAGCAAGCATACAGCATCAAGCCTGTGGGAGGGAGAGGGAAGGATCTTCACTGCATTCCATGGTCTGGAGCTTTGCAGACTGACCTCTCTATGGTTGTCAATGGACATAATTACTGCTTTCCTCAAGAGACAGGTGCCTGTACCAATGCTAAATTTCTATGCTTGCAGAAGAATTAT